TATATATATATATATATATATATATATATATATATATATATATATATATATGTATGTATGTATGTATGTATGTATGTATGTATGTATGTATGGATTCATAATAATACGATAACAATAACAAAAAGTATAAATATAAAAATTTTAACAATAGATTTCCACATCACCCATGAGGTACTATTGTTGATGCGTTTTTTTAAGTGGTTTCCCCAGTTGGCCTATTTCACTATGATGATGAAATATATGTTAGCTCGGCAAGAAAACACAAAATTCTATATCATAAAATATTAGTTTGCTGTTCATTCTCCAGATAATTCCAGTTGCAAGATAATATCGAAGCAGAGCACTCTCATTATTAACAAATACACTTTTTTTAAGATATCAATGTTTAAATTTCTGTAACCTCACATGAAAACTTTAACGCTCAATGGATATATAGTTACAAATAAAAATGTATTTATTTATAAAAATAGAAATTATTGGGGAAGGAAAATATTTTGATAATAATTTAACAGATCGATGATACGATCTTGAGGCCGAACATCTCACGCGCGATCGGCAGCCTAGCTGTCGAGCAGGGAGCGGCTGCGGGGGGAGTAGTAGGCGTTGCCTCTGAAATCTGCTCGAAATGTGGAAATAATTCCGAGCACTGGAATAACGTATCATTTCATTAAGTATTTTTTGAATAATGAAACTTGAAAAGTTACATTAAGTCAAATTGGACAAAAAAAACCTTTATCATTTCAAATAACCACGTAGATTTTTAGTCATTAATAAAATTTTTTTTCAATATTTAACATAAAGGACAATAAGAGTTCAAGCACAGGTTGAATAGTGCTATTAAAACTATTAAAAAATAGTGACCCAATCTCACAATGAGACGAAATTTATTAATTATCAAACGCGTTTCGGTCTAATTTTACAGACCCTCCTCAGTGATTACAATAATATTTAAGTGTCGCAAAAATAAAAAAAAGTCGCAATAGTCGGTGTTACAATGTTATTTTTTCCTCATATTTGGTTTGGTTACTCTATCTTAATACGTTTTTTTAGATGATTACACCACAGCACCTTAGTACGTGCGATGGAGTGACCAATCTTAGAATAAATTACTAGTATCTTCCAGGAAAAATTTCTTTGTCTAAATGAATATTTACGTTGATGCTTCCGAGTCCCGTAGGCAAAAACTTGTAGCGACAGTTTTTTTGTAACAACTATTGTAACACCGACTATTGCGACTTTTTTATTTTTGCGACACTTATATATTATTGTAATCACTGAGGAGGGTCTGTGAAATTAGACCGAAACGCGTTTGATAATTAATAAATTTCGTCTCATTGTGAGATTGGGTCACTATTTTTTAATAGTTTTAATACTACTATTCAACCTGTGCTTGAACTCTTATTATCCTTTATGTTAAATATTGATATACTCAGGAAGAGTTTTTAGTTTTTTTAGTTCAAATTTTTTTTTGATTGTGCGCGATAATGCACAAATCTTCTTTAATTAATATCTAAAAATCTATGTAGTTATTTGTAAAAGGTAGAAAACGATTTTTTGTTCAATTTAACCTAATGTATAAATATATATCGTAAGTATATCGCGCATGATCACTCACTAATCTTCCTTAATTAAAAGTTTAAGATTTATTGCGAATATCGCAAAACGGTATGAGATTTTTATGTTTATTTCAATCCGTTCTACTTTCTCACAAATAATGCAGAAGAGAGTCTGAGACACCCTGTATTCTTCGGTTTTATATGTGCTAGATTTTAGCACCTGAATTATACTATTAAAAATTTGCTACGTTGCTTAGCAACGTATTCTATTACAATATAATATTTTCTTCGTGTAAGTGTAACACCTCCTCTCGTACGAATTTCTCATTGTGCGCTACTTCGTTGTACCAAGACTGATTCATTATTGTAATCGAAAAATCATTGATCATTATCGTGGAAGAACATTTGATAACCTAGAGCGCGGAATATATAATTTATGAACGCACGTTTTCTCCTTGAAGTCATATCTTTATGTTGACATTTAAATATTAATCAATTATAATTATTTGACACCTGTTTTCTAATACTTTTAGGACAAGGCTTAAGGAAAGACGGTGCTAAGATCGCGGCTGCTGAAAACTTATATCAAAAATACAGCGAAGCGGAGCAACAGTTGGTATGAGGCGATATGAGAGAGGATTCGTTTGCGGCGTTTACCAAAGTGCAATCTACCTTTTATTCGACCTTTCTATAAAGATAAAAATTTAAATAAATATCGAATAAATAACAATTGATACTTTCGTGTTATCTTCTTTGCAGAGTGAAATGGAGATCGAACTCGAGTTTAACACGTTAGATTTGCGAAGAACACGAGCATACGTAGACGCGGGTACAATTGAAATTAAAAAAGCAAAAAGCGCATTCCGACACGCGAGTGAATTCACTACAATCTCCACTGTTACTCTAATGACTAAATTCGTCATAATTCGTCGTAACTCGTCGTAACTCGTTTTTCTTTACGAGAAACACTAGCAACGCTATCATGGTATTTTGGTGACGATCCAAGGTAGCTTACCGGTCTTCTTAAAAGACCAGTAATCGTACAAGAGCTTGCCAAGCACAAGGAATATTAATGATGCCAATATAACGTTCAAAACATCGAGGGGATGGAGCCAGGAATCCTCGTCCGGTGCAATACAAATCTCCGTTCGCGTAAGATCGCGTATCTGAAAGGCGTTTCATATTATTAAGTTGAGAGGACGACTGATTGCGACTGCATTGTTCATTTATGCAGTTTCTTGTTTCTCGATAATTGCGGAAAGGACAAAGGACACCGTCATTGAGTACCTGTTTGTTCGCGTTGTCGTTGTCATTCACGAAAGCGCATCTCACGTCGTTGATATCCTTCACCAGATTCGGATATCTAATTAGCAGCACCTATAAGGATATGAACTACGTGAAATTGACTTGAAATTGACTTGACAGAAATAAGAATTCGCTATTCCGATTACAATACTAAAGGCAGATTCCCGCAAAAATAGATAAAAGAAATAAAATATCAGTATTTACGAATTCCGAATATTTTAAACAATATAGGATCTTTTTGCAAAAATACAAATTATGCAAGATTGACTTGATAGAAATTAAAGATTTGCCACTTCGAATTATTGCTTGATTGTTGAATTGTTGAAATTAGGAAACGGATATTTGCGAGAAAAAAAATATCAAATATTACAAATTTTTAGAAATTTTTAAGTCAGAAATAAGTTTCTCTCATTATATTGCCGAATTCTTTTTTATCTGTTCCTCTGTTTTTGTATCTATTTTTACTTTTTTGCATTTCAAAGTAACCAAGATAGAGGAAACTCAACAAAAATATTTTTTATATTTTAAAAATAAATTAATTTTTATAATTATAGATATTATTACTTCCTTTCTGTTACATATAAAAAATTGTATACTGCATTCATGTACATAAATATTACTTGTTTCAAACACTTTATAAGCTTATATATTCATAAATCTATCATAAGTTCACAAGCATAAATTTCCTCAAAATACTTCCTGAATCCTAGTAAGTTTAGTATTTCAATGAAGAATATTGAATTAAAGAAAAAATTCGATTTGCTTACTATACAGAATTAAACCAATTTTTTTCTTAGGTAGAGTTTTATAATATTCTTTTAAAGAGAATAAATTCTTTTGAATACATAATAAATGAACTTTTCTAAAATTTGTGATGAATATATTTTAAGATTATTATGAAGAAAGTATTCTTAGTTAAGAAAGGATTCTCTCTTAACTAAGAATATTTTCTTCATAATAATCTTAAAATATACTCATCACAAATTTTAGAAAATAAAATAAAATAAAATAAAATAAAATGAGTAATCGCTTTTCTTAGCAATAGAATATTTTTCTGTGTGTATTTATCTATTTTTACCTTTCCACGATTCAAAGTAACCAAGATAGAGGAAATTTTGCAATAATACTTTTTTATATTTTAATATTTGCATATTTTAATTTTTACAATTATCTATTGACCATTATCTTTATTCTAAGTTCTCTTTTATCGGTAAAAGAGAGTTTAAAAGAGAGTTTAAAATAAGGACTATTATCTTCCTCTTTTTTACATCTATCTACTTCTATTTCCGAGAAAAGAAGGAGCTTGGATTAATCAAGATGGCGCTTGATCGGCGACCTAAGCTTCGCGCATAAAAACGCGCTCGATTTTACCTGAAAGCTCGGCGTAAAGTGGCAGTCGCACGTCCATGAATTATTACCGAGATACAGGCTGGCCGCGTTGCCGTTGTGCAGAACGTTCTCCAAAGCGTAAGTGGGAAACTGAAAGATGCAAAGAGCAAAGAATCATAAACCGTGTTTGCGCGTCTGGCACGCATATTAAACACACGTGCGAGCTGATATCGAAGTGTGTATGCAACGCGTAACTCTTTGTGATGTCCTTAAATCACGTATCTCGTTTCTTAATCGTCTCAGGGCGCGTCACACAGGAAGAGAGATCAGGTTCAATTAATCTCTCTACGCTTTAACATCTGTCACGGCGGCGAAACAGACGCCTCGTGCGCAATGCCCTGGAACGACGGCGAATCTCGATACGTCCAACTAACATCGATGAGTTTGTTCCCCCGAAGATTAAGGAGCCGAAAGTGGTCCAGCCAGTTCGATCCTTCCAGCCGAACAATAGACTCCACTAGATTGTCGTCTATGTAAAGATCCAACACCGACTGGTAGACGGGATTTGTCGTAAGCGGAGTTAAATCACTGATCTGCAAAGATGTAATTAGGAAATCAGATTAGAAGCATCGCAGATAAACAGATGTACGTGGATTTGACAACAATTTTACTAGTCAATTTGTAAAGATTGCATCCCTTATGAGTGGTTCGTATGACACTCATCTTTATCATATAGAATGACGAAAAAATGCTTGATATATTTGCATTTGCCGAAAATGTGATCATATTAGGTTAAGTTATTTGTTTCTGTGGATAAAAAATATTTTTTCTTCTCAGCAAAATATATGGTTTCCAACAGATTTTTTGATGCTGAATACGATCCTGTTGATACAATTAACATATCTCGCTTTATTTTATTGTTATTTTAATTTAAAAACCTTTAAAAATATCGTTTTTTTCGCTTGGACGTTAAGATATTTCAAAATCCTGATGTGATAGACAAAATGACCGGATTTGAACTCGGCGCATAGAAAAACATAAGGAATGATTTCATCAAAAAAGTGATCCTTTAATTATTAATTATTAATTATTAATTATTAATTATTAATTATTAATTATTAATTATTAATTATTAATTATTAATTATTAATTATTAATTATTAATTATTAATTATTAATTATTAATTATTAATTATTAATTATTAATTATTAATTATTAATTATTAATTATTAATTATTAATTATTAATTATTAATTATTAATTATTAATTATTAATTATTAATTATTAATTATTAATTATTAATTATTAATTATTAACTATTAATTATTAATTATTTATTATTGAATTAATTATTACTTATTGATTATAGAATTTTAATTTTTCATTTGAATCAACTTGATTTATGGATGCCAAACTCTAGGGAGTTAAATCTTATTAAAATGTAAGTTTTATATATAAATTGTTATAAAATTTTATTAAATTTAATGAGTTATAAATTTGAATTGCAAGAAATTGCGTGAAATTATTTTTCATCCTTTTGTTAAAAATAAATTTAAAATTGTTTTGTTAAAATTCATTAAAATTTTGAGAACTTGTATATATATATACATAGACTATATAAAATTTTGTAAGATATAAGACTATATAAGATTTTATAAGATTTTATAAATTACAACATATTTTTGTGAAATTTTTAGAGCTATAAATACAAATTGCAAATGGAAGAAATTATTTTTTCATCTTTTTGTTGAAATTTATTAAAGTATATAAAAATTATTTATGAAAGTTAAAGATATTGTAAACTATACCGGATTTTATAAAATTTTACAAATTACAATGAAATTTTGTAGAATTCTATAAGTTACAAATTTAAATTGCGAGAATGAGAACTGAATGAGAGGATTTATTTCTCCATCTTTTTGCAAAAGTTTGTTAGGATTTATTAAAATTTAGATCTTGTCTAAACTATATAAAATTTTATAGAATTTTCCAAATATTATAGAAGTAAAATTTTGTGAAAGTTTACAAATTATAGATATAATTTGCTAGAACCTTGTTTCCGGTTAGACGAAGGGTGGTCGTGTTCGCCGGTAAGAAGTCGGGCATGTCGGTGAGGCCGCGGTGGCTACAATTTACCGAGGTGAAAGCTATGACTTGCCCCTGAGCGGTGAGCTTGCCGGCACGTCCGACCACGTAGACTAGTTCGCACTCGCAGATGGTCCGTTTGCATTCCTCTCTCAGCGCCTGCAAATTAAAAGTCGACTCTGGCCGCGAATTTCGCGTGGCAATCTAGCGAAGCTTCCGCTGTTCCTTTTCTTGATTTTTCACGGCGTTATCCCATTTTATTAGCGTTTATGCGCGAAAGAAGGGAGTGTATTTTCACGTTACCACGATTATTTCGACGACCGGGACAAGCGGTCTTCCATCATACGGTGCGGCGCAAAGCAATTTGTCTCTGTCGACGACTCTGCTCGCGACTGATCCTTCGGTGGAGTCCAAAATCCAGGCGGTATCTTCCGTACATCTCAACGGATTACCTTCGCCGGTACAGTCTCATTAATAACATATGAGATGCGCGCGCGAAAAACAGAGAGACAAAGAGAATGAACATATTAGTCTCTTGTGTGTGCAATTTCGGTTAAAAAGAATCATCGGCCTGAGTACTTTCTACGGAGAGAGAATTCAGATTTTTTACTGTCGTGCGACGAGAGATGCTCGAACGCAGCGAAACGATCTAACAATCAATAACTTATCGTAAATAAACATGATAGAATCATGCGAAAAGATCGATTGAAAAGATATATTGTATGTCCCAAAAAGGTTTGGTTGAATTAACCAAATATCTGGTCGAATATGAACGATCCAGAAATTCCGATTAAAGTAATCCAGATTCTGTTTAAGTCAACCAAAAATCTTGTTAATTTAAACAGAATCGAGTTACTTCAATCGGAATTTCTGGATCGTTCATATTCGACCAGACATTTGGTTAATTCAACCAAACCTTTTTTTCCGTGCCCGATAATCAACGGCAAATTATTGATTGTTACAACAAAAGGGAAGTGTTATAAGCACTATTTTACAGATTTGTTCGATCAATTGTCACTTTACGGATATATCTTTTTACTTCAATGTATTTTTCAAGGATTTTTAGCATGCGTTTTCTTGCTTCTAATGTCATTAAAAAGAGATGGATAATGTGAATACGCAGAAGCTTTAATAGTTGTCATCTGAAACTTTTTTCACGTGAGATGCTCAGATTTTTACTCAAAGTTAGATCCAAACTTTTCAGTTCTATATGTGATATTTATATATATATATATATATATATATATATATATATATATATATATATATCACGATTCAACTGAAAAACTCTTATCTAACTTTGAATTCAAATTTGAACATCTTACTTGAGACGAGTTGCAACTAATAACTATTAACACGGACCTAAGATTTGAATCCAGAGTTAAATCTACTCTCTAAATTTCTCGAAGCGGAATTAATCGTTAATTAAACAATTGTCTTGAATTGAATGTATTGAAAGCACTCATCAATCAATTGAATTCATCTATTAAGTTTGTTGAAATTAATTGTCAATTTCAGAGGTTTCCAATTGAATTGGTTCATATATAAAAAGTTCATATTAATCGTCAATTAAATACACGATAATTAATTTAAAAAGTAATTAATTACTCGCAACTCTGCTATATTTTCATTCGAAGCGATAGTGACAATATTGCCACTCGAAATCGCAAGAACAAAAGTTTCACTCAAGCTTAGAGCGAATTCTGACTCCATATGAGCAATTGTTTCAATTGATTAGAGTAAATATATTCCTGTGACAGTGGAGTACATTAGATTCACTCTTTGAATGAAAATATTCACTCAACAATTCAAAATGGAGAATTCACTCTATATAAATGAAAAATCATTCGAATTCAGGTGACTCGGTGGTCACCCTATTTTTCGAGTAAAACTTTATCCCAAAAAACTGAGAAAATTAAATTTTTTAATTAAATCGTATGATATACATTTTGTATATTTGTAGCTTTTGTATATTATTTTTATATTATTTGTTATTATTTATATATTTGTAGTCATAATACAAATAAACAACCTAGTTTTAATTTTAAAGCCTATATCAATAATTGTTACTTAAAACTCGTTTCTAGTAAGATTTGAATATAGAGTTAGATGAGAGTTTTTAATTAAATCGCGTTTACAAGTGTAAATATCATATCTATTATAATTCAATTGAAATAACTTGGATTTTGGAATAAAAATTCGTGTATCTTATATGAGACAAGTTTCAAGTGGCGACTATTAATATAAACCTTAGACTCGTATTAATAGTCACTGCTTTTGAAACTCGTAGCGCATAAGATACTCAAATTTGAATTTAAAATCGGAACTAAGTTTTTCAATTGAATTATACGATACATGACATTATATTATATTGATAAGCATAATTTAATTGAAAAACTGATATCTAACCTTAAATTCAAATTGGAGTGTCTCACTCCACTTGAGATAAATTTCGAGTAACGACTATTGATACGCGCATAAATTTAAATCTGGAACTCTTATTCGAAACAAGTTTCTAACTATTAATACGAACCTAAGAGATTCTACATTTCGATGCCAAGAATATATAGCTTTCTGTGGAAATCTCGATAGAGAATTCTGTTTCTTACCGGCTAAATAAAGTTGCTTCAAGGTCGGCACGTCAATAGTTGTAATATTGATCTCCTCGAGAGCGTTGTTCCTTAGATCGAGAATCCTTAAGGCCCGCAGATTCGAAAACACGTTCCTCAGCAGTATTCGTAGCTTAGTGCCGATCACATTGATTTTCTATCGATACAGACACATCTCTTCAAGCTCCCGTAATTTTCAAGGTAAAGTATGTACGTGTAAAACGCCTCATATCGTCTCGCGATAACAAATTTTCGATAACTTTTTTCTTCTCGACATTTAGAGATTTTCCTATGCAAAATTCAAATGCTTAATTATGTTCAGAATTGGAAAAGTTGTTTTTAAAAAGTAACGCGTTACTTGTTTACATATTAAAAAAGTTCACTCGTTATCGTTATCATTACTCAAAAGATAAACAATTGTTACAATTTCCATCTCTATTTCGTTACTTTTTCATCAAGCTTTGAAAACTTTTTTTTAGGAAATTCGCTTTTACCCATTCTATATATAAATTCTATATATATAAAGTAGGGGAGAGTAGTGTCAACAATTATAACGGATTGTCAATTGAAACAAATAATCTAGTGGTAAAATTTGTTAGAGAAAATTTGTTAGAATAAATTATTATTATTATTATTTGAAAGCCTCATCGATATGTGATTTATGTACACATAAACCAAAAGTCATTGTCTCTTACATATTTTCCAATGCAAGCTTGATTATGGAAGAAGTCCGTTAGTAATTTTCAATATCTGTCGAAAAATTCTTTCAACTCATGCCATAAGATTTATCTAAAAATAGACTTTGCTAGACATTTAAATATACGTTTATCAAGTTACTAAATAAGGTAAATGTTGATATTAAATAAGTGAATAATATTCGTAAATAAGAATGGATATGTATATACATATGTGAAAATAGAGATGATCGCAACTGTAACAATGAAAATGATGTCGATTGTAATATATTACTATTGACACTACTTGCAAAGACATATCTAATATTCCAACTTGTTGGAATATTATTTATCAAATAAATTTTTCAACCGAGACAGTCTATTGCCTCAATTTCGTAATGAAAATTATTACGAAAATGTAATATAAAAGGATTAGAAATATCATAATACTGCTCGTTCAGAATCTTGTGTTTAATTTTTCGCCTTCGCATATGTTTACGTTTTTTATAAATGTTTCGAGACTCCGTAGGCTCTAAATCACGAAATTTCCCGACTAATGACATACACGCGGAACTATATACGTAAAGACACTGACGAAAATAAAAGATATATATTTGATATGCTGTGAAAGACACGAACAAAAAAAAAGTCAAGAAAATTACAGTGTACTGAATATAAAAAATAAGCTCATTCCACTGCGCAGGAAACCCATTTTATATTTATCTTCATTGTTTGTCTAATTGAATCTTTATTTTCAATATTTCTTTTTTTTATAAGTTTTAATATAAAATATTAACTTTTTATTATTTTAATCTTGTTGTTTAGCTTAAAGTAAACTACTTTATAACGTATAATTTTATGTATATTTACGTATATTTTATGTTGCTTTTTAAATGATTCACGAGAATTAAAATTGATATTACAATTGACACCCTATACTGTTACAATTAACACTATGTTGGTGTCAATTGTAATTCCTTACTGTCTTTTTATTGAAATAACTTTGAAAACTTTACATTTTACTAATATTGTTATAAAATTGAAACAAAAAAATCACTTAATGTCATATATAAATTTGGTTTCTCACTGATTAATAATAAATGGGATACAATGTAAAAAATTGTTTACATTATTACAATTGGCAGGACTGTCCTCTATAAAATATTGATAAAAGTAACGACTATATTCGTTATCGTTATGCAAAAAGTGTAATTGTGTAACAATTATCGTTATTATTGAAAAAAATAATATCGTTATCAAGTCATTACTGAAAACAATAACTTATAATGATAACGGTGTTACAAGTAACGCATTATTTCTCAATCCTGATTGTTCTAAAGACGACGGCGAAGCGTAATATATCACGATTACTATTATTTTGCTGTAATCTATAAAAATTCTAACAAATAATCCTAGCAAAATTTATTAAAGACACACAGAAAAATATAATTTTACTGCTAAAAAAGTGTTTGCTCAGTTTACTTTTCTTTTTTTAAATAATAGTTATCTTCAACAAAGAATATTTTCTTGATAATAATCTTAAAATATGCTCATATTTTAGAGACAAATTTATAGAAAAGCTTATTATCGTATATTTAAAGAAAAATAATTACTTTTTCTTTAGAAGAATATTATAAAACATTATCGAAGAGAAAGTTAGTCCGATTCTATGTAATAATTAAACTGAATTTTTGTTTTAATTTAATATTCTTGATTGAAATGTAAACATATTAGGATTCAGATTGTATTTTGAATAAATTTGATGCTTATAATGAACTTATGACAGCTTTGCGGATATAAACTTATAAAATACTCGAAACAAATAACACTTGAACGCAATATATATTTTTCTGTGTGTATATAGCTGTTATTTTCGAAGCGGCTGACAAATATTCTCTACCTCGAGTACTGCCATTTCGATCGGAAATGTAGTTGATAATTGAGTCAAATTACTGTTCGCCAGTGTTAACTTTCGCAAACGCGTAAATGTTCGCAGTACTTCCTGTGGATTGAACGTCGCGATTGGCCATTCGCACAGAACGAGCACCTGTATATTTTCGTTCCTGAAAATTCGTAATAAAACATCGAAGGGAAATTACAAACTCGACAGAATTACAAATTCGATCGTAAAAATCAGAAAAAAGATCTCTTCAATTTTGCGTCTTTAATTTCATAACGTCAATTTGTTATGAAGGAATTAAATTAGTTTCAATTAGTTTTTACTCGATGATTGAAAATGCAAGATTGATATTTTAAGCTTGTAATTTTTAACGTGATTATATTTACCTGGCCTTCCACTTGTCTTGGAGACCATTGAAACAGACGAGACGCTGCCGGCTCTCTGCGAAATCACACTCGGGATAATCGATTGTGTGTGGATGATGCCAGTAACAAATGTCGCCTTCCTTCGAGGAAACGCTCGAGCTACGTGTGTATGCGTGGAAAAGAACGAATCTGCAATCGAGACAATTTTTTATAGTGAATACCGAAAAATGATTCCGAAGTAGTAAGTAGCTCACTATGGCTCGTCAAAACATTCCCCCACTACCGACCCTTTGGCACCAGGGTAGAAAGGTGGGAGAATGTTTTGACGGACCATAGTGGGTCACTTACTACTTCCTGAAAAATCAAAATCTCGAAATTTAGAAACTAGGACAATTTCCCACAAAGTCAAGATCGAAATTCGAGAATACCGAGATAAAACATATTGAAATAAAATGTTCCCACACAGAAAAAACTACTATAATTGCTATATTCATATTCTTTATGGTTTAAAATTAGTAAAATATATGAAATTTCATATTAAATAAATATTGCATCAAAAATTGCTGTATTATTATATATCTATCATACATAAAACAACAGTTATTTTAATATATATATTATAATATACAGAGTGCCCCGCGTAAGACGGGTGCCAAAAGAAAAATATAAGTAGAATAGGTAAACGTGAACAAAAATTGTAGAGGTCATTTTTCAATATCCACGTAACATTTTGAGATATTCATTAATAAACAATCATGTAAAATTTTGAAATATTAATTTAAATAGTTGAGCAAATCAGAGCGCGCAACGCAGCAGACGGGACATACGGCTCGTTACGGCCGGCGAAGAAAATGGACGATTGCCCGTGGGTCTATCTCATAGGCCTAGAGGTGGGGACTACGTCTCAGATCTGACACTGCGTGATAGGTCCGCCAGCAATCGTCCATTTTCTTCGCCGGCCGAGGCGAGCCGTATGTCTCGCCTGTCGCGTCGCGCGCTCTAATTTGCTCATCTATTTTAATTAATATCTCGAAATTTCACGTGGTTGTTTGAAAAATGACCTGTACAATTTTTGTTCACTTTTATCTGTTCTACTTATATTGGGAGTACAAATAAGTCTTCGCCGTTTGACAAAAGATGGCCCCACTAGTAAGTTATAGTTGAAATTGTCAGATGTAAAACGTCATATCGTAAGGTTGGACATCTGACAACACCATAACCTTGAAATATTAGCGATTTTGTATCAACATCACATAATTTTTTTCGTGCGAAAATGTCGAGTTTTGAGCCGAATAAGCATCATTTGGGAACTTTTGATTTACTTCTTTAATTAGAAGAAATCTGCAACTGAGGCGCATGTAGAAGCATATGGTGAGGCTGCTTTAAGTGAGAGAAGTTGTCGTGAGTGGTTTCAAAAGTTTAAGAACGCTGAGTTTGACGTCGAAGACAAAGAACGTAGCGGAAGGTCGAAAGACGAGGAACGAAGACGTAGCGGAAGGTACGAAGACGCGGAATTGGAAGCATTATTGGAGGAAGATTCGTGCCAAACGCAAGAAGAACTTGCACTTACATTAGGAGTGACTCAACAAGCAATTTCACATCGTTTAAAATCGTTGGGAATGATTCAAAAGCAAGGAAATTGGATTCCATATGAACTGAAGCCGAGAAACGTTGAACGCCGATTTTGCACATGTGAAATGCTGCTTGCCAAGCATAAACGAAAGGGTTTTTTGCATCGTATAGTCACTGATGATAAAAAATGGATCCACTACGATAACCCAAAGAAGAGGAAATTATGGGGACTACGTGGCCATGCTTTAACATCGATAACCAAACCGAATATTCATGGAAAAAACTCATGTTGTGTATTTGGTGGGATCAGCTTGGTGTCGTGTATTATGAGTTGCTCAAACCGAACGAAACTATTACTGGGGCTCTCTACCGAACAATTGATGATATTGAGCCGAGCACTCAACGAAAAACACGCCCACTACTACTCCAGACACGACAAAATTATTCTCCTGCATGATAATGTTCGTCCACATGTTGCGGCGCCGGTCAAAACCTACTTGGAAACACTCAATTGGGAAGTTTTACCCCACCCGCCGTATTCTCCAGACATTGCTCCCTCTGACTATCACTTGTTTCGATCGATGACGCATGGTCTGTCTGAACAGCACTTCACATCATATAAAGATATCAAAAATTGGGTCAATTCGTGGATAGCTTCAAAAAATGAAGCGTTCTTCCGACGCGGTATCCGTATGCTGCCAGAAAGATGGGAACAAGTAGTGGCTAGCGATGGACAATACTTTGAATAAAACATAAGGTACCGTTCTTTTACAATAAATGCCCAATTTTTTATAAAAAAACGGCGGAGACTTATTTGTACTCCCAATATTTTTCTTTTGGCACGTTTTACGCGGGACACCCTATATAATTACTATATCCTTATATATACAGGGTATCCGAAACCTTTCTTGACACAAATCGTAGAAAAATAGAACAGATTAAACAGAACAGAAAAGTCAAATACCATTTTGCGAAATTCGCAATGATTTTCGAGTAATTAATTATTTTGTCTTAGCTCTACGCCCCTGTGGAGTTGGTGTGTTATAATTATCAGACACTCTGTATACAGGGTGTTCCACGTAAGACGTGCCAAAAGAAAAATATAAATAGAATACATAAAAGTGAACAAAAATTGTATAGGTCATTTTTCAAACAACCACGTAAAATTTCGAAATATTAATTAAAATAGTTGGGCATATCAGAGCGCGGCGACACGGCAGGCGGGACATATGGCTTGCCGCGGCCGGCAAAGGAAATAGACGGCTCGCGGGCCTATCTTATAGGCCAGAGAGGGGGACCGTTTGGCATACTGAAATGAGTAGCTCCGTGTTGCGTCCGTGTATGTGTGCGTTCTTCCATTTTCTTTGCCGGCCGCGGCGAGCCGTATGTCTCGCCTGCCGCGTCGCCGCGCTCTGATATGCCCAACTATTTTAATTAATATCTCAAAATTTTACGTGGTTGCTTGAAAAATGACCTATACAATTTTGTTCACTTTTATATGTTCTATTTATATCTTTCTTTCCGTATGTCTTACGCAGGACACCCTGTATATATACAGGGTGTCCCGAAATCCCATGATGACCCTTGGTGAGAACATAGAACGGATTGAGGTGAGCAAGAAAGTCCTGTGCCGTTTTGCGATATTCGCAATAGTTTTTGAGAAATTAATTATTTTGTCTCAACAAATTAGCGTACAGAAAGCGGCAGCGGAAAGAAAAATGCCTTCGGCCGACGTGCGACCGTGACACTCGCGAATCGTATCTCGCCGCGTCCCTCCGCCCATAGCGGAGATTAAATCGACTAGGTGACTCGGTCGCCACTATAGGTGCATTCAGAGAGTCTCTATCAACGCTACTGCATGATTTTATCTTTATCACTTTTTTTAGATATACAACGAGAATAGAATAATGCGTTAGCAATCAATAACGCTGGTAACATGCTCTTTAAACGTATTTTATAATATTCATTATCTAGGATATTATATTTAATATAATCTAAAGTTTATATCAAACGCTGTTTACGATCGTTTTATTGGTCAAATAGTATTGTAAAATGCACTTAAAACGACGTTAAATACTAGATCAGATTATATGAATCGGCTTGTGGATAAGATCCATTTAGTATTTGCAATGTCGAACGGACCTTGTCCTATGATTAATAAATATTAAGTAAATTTTAAGTGGATTCATGTCAAGGAAGTAATATGCTCATATCACAGGGATAGTTTGTCGTGGGAATTTTCTCCATGCAGGAGCCTTGTACACATATGCGCACAGGTTTCTGCATAGAAAAAATTCCAACGGTACCTCCTTACTATATCACACTCACGATTGGCGATTGCATTTGCGTTGCGCTTGAGTTCGCGATCATTCGTTCACTGGTAAGAAAAGAGTTGACTAGTTCTTAATAATACAATAAAGAAGTACAAGCGGTTATTCTCTTATTGCCGGTTATTCGTGACTGACTGTGGCATCAATTTTAAACCGGAAGTATTTGTCCCGCAGCTGATCCTCTGTGCCAGAGCTCGACACGTATTAGGTGTACAACTTTGCTTCCGCCGTTTTTTTTCCGAAATTCAAGGCTTTATTGTAAAAAACTGGTTATACATTTATGATTCAAAGTATTGTCCATCGCTGTCCACTACTTTCTCCCATCTTTCGGGCAGCCTACGAATCCCGCGTCGAAAAAACTGGTCATCTTTTGAGGCGATCCACGAATCGATCCAATTTTTTACTTCTTCATAAGACCGGAAGTGCTGATCAGCCAGGCCGTGTGCCATTGATCGAAACAAGTGATAGTCAGAAGGAGCAACGTCTGGAGAATACGGCGGGTGGGGTAAAACTTCCCAATTGAGTGTTTCCAAGTAGATTTTGACCGGCGCCGCAACATGTGGACGAGCATTATCATGCAGGAGAATAATTTTGTCGTGTCTGGAGTAGTAGTGGGCGCGTTTTTCCTTAAGTGCTCGGCTCAATCTCATCAATTGTGTTCGGTAGAGAGCCCCAGTAATGGTTTGAGCAACTCATAATACACGACACCAACCTGATCCCATCAAATACATAACATGAGTTTTTTTCCATGAATATTCGGCTTGGCTGTCGATGTTGAAGCAAGGCCACGTGGTCCCCATGATTTCCTCTTCTTTGGGTTATCGTAGTGGATCCATTTTTCATCACCAGTGACTATACGATGCAAAAAACCCTTTCGTTTATGCCTGGCAAGCAGCATTTCACATGTGCAAAATCGGCGTTCAACGTTTCTCGGCTTCAGTTCATATGGAACCCAATTTCCTTGCTTTTGAATCATTCCCAACAATTTTAAACGATGTGAAATTGCTTGTTGAGTTACTCCTAATGTAAGTGCAAGTTCTTCTTGCGTTTGGCACGAATCTTCCTCCAATAATGCTTCCAATTCCGCGTCTTCATACACTTTCGACCTTGCGCTACGTTTTTTGTCTTCGACGTCAAACTCACCGTTCTTAAACTTTTGAAACCACTCACGACAACTTCTTTCACTTAAAGCAGCCTCACCATATGCTTCTACAAGCAATCGATGCGCCTCAGCTGCAAATTTCTTCAAATTAAAGAAGTAAATCAAAAGTTCCCGCAAATGACGCT